ATTGGATTTTTTTTTTGCGCGCATTAATTAATAACCCCAGGCAGGTGCGACTTCTGATGCTTAAAGTTGCACCTTCAGACATATTCTAATGCCAAACACGACATTACTATTCGTCATCGATTTAATTAAAAATCCTGAAAATCGGTAATTGCACTTTGAGCACTAATTTGATGATGATTTGCAAAATTAATCTCGAATTCCACAAATGCAGATCTGAAAAAAAAAAATAGAGTGATTAAATCGAATTGACTACTTGTCCTCCATTATATGACGGTTACAACTTAAATGATAACACTACATGAAAATCAACAATACTGGTTAAACTTCAAGGCAACGATAACGATTATTCGTTAATCCGAATGTAATAATCAACGTCACATTGTTAAACAAATAACAACTCTTCTAGCTTCTTATATAATTCAAGCAAGGGCATAAACCAAAATAAGCTCATTTACAACTAAAATTACAAACTATAGATTTATTTGTACAGTAAAAAAAATATATATAAAGCTTGATCGTAGGCTAATGATTAGCTGAAATTCAAAAAATATTGAGCATCATTGAATTCGCATAGCATTTTTTGCTTGCGAATGCTTAATTAACGACTTTACGGCCAGGAAACAAGTATAATGCTTTCGAATATGAGGAAATATCCATATATATGCCTTTTAATTATTCTATTTTTGATCCTTGAAATATTTCCGGCATCAACACTTTCAGAATCAGGAAATTCTACTCAATTGAATCAATTAAATGTTTGTCCTGCACCATTGATACCTTCACCTATATTTAATTATACTGGTAAAACATGTTTCGGAGGATGTTGCCTTCCGTGCCCCTACGTAAATAATTTCTATCCAGCAGGTCAAATAGATGCAATATATACAGTTTTAAGCGTTATAAGAGTTATTTCATTTGTTGGTATTGCTATTATCGTATTGAGTTATTTGGTGCTGCCAAATAAAAGAGAGCATCCGGCTATGATCGTTCTTATCTTTAATACTTGTCTCCTGGCATTTCTCGGTATCACTTTTTTTTACATTGGAAATCACAAAAGTATTCAATGTGCTGATGATTTCACTCAAGCAACCATGAAAAACAACCTTCTTTGCGGTGTACAAGGTAAATATAATATTATTCTATCTATCTCTGAATAACTTCTTTCATATAACTCTCTTTAATCCATTTTTCTATATGTAACAGGTGTACTGCTGATTTTGTCAACATTCCTTCTTATTCTATTTTGCTTCCTTTTGATTCTACATTTACACATTCAAACTGTCTGGAAATCAAATTTCCTTCACAAATATTATGTTCATGCTCAAATATTTATTTGGATAATATCACTAGCATTTACTTTCGTACCTGCTATTACAAGCAATATTTCATTCGATTTTGGTGCCGTCTGTATGGTTTCCAAAAATATCTCTAAAGAATTGTTCTGGGCTCCACTGGCCATTATTGTCGTACCTGCATTTTTGATTCATATTGCAACTTTTATTTATGTTGCTAAGGTAAGTCTCTTAAGTTTATCATTAAGATGTGTGATATCAGACACAAAGTTCTAATAATTTTTTGACTTTCACAAAGGCACAATGGATGTTGGCACGTGATTTTGACGATTCATCCTTTGGAACGATCGTAACATATTCAACTGGTTACTTAGAACATGTCACTAGTAAAGATGTTTTGAACGTCATTAAGATTCAATGGCGCTCTTTATTATTAGCGATGATTTTGTTGGTTACTTACATTATATTTATGGTAATTTGTAATTCATGTTTCTTTTTACTTATTGATTGTATTTTATTAATTTATTTATTAATTTTGATTTAATTCTTTAGATATTTTCAGTGACGGCAACAAATCAATTATCTCCACTTCTATCTTCCACAACTGGTGCTAATTCATGGATAGTTGAGTGGGTGATTTGCCTTAAGGGGCATCAGTTGACAAATGATGGTCAAAATGAATGCGCGTATATTCCAAAAGGACACATTCCGAATGTTGTTTTCTTGACCGTATCAGAGCTATTAACAGCATCAGTGGGTATATCTATTTTTTTAGTGTTTGGAACTAGTGTTGGTCTTTTGATGGAATGGAAACATTGGTTCAATAGAACTTTTGGGCATGTTGAAAAAAGTGATAATATATTTTTGTAACTTGATTGGTTCATGTTGGTTCATGTCATGTTGATTCATGTACATTAGTGTATCAGAACACCTCAACTTTCATATTATGTTCATCTTTAGCATTATAAATTACATTTAACATTAATTCTTTGTAAATTATTTAACAAATTTACTTTTGGTGGGACTTAGTTTACAAGCATTGATTTAGGTGGGACCTCATTGACTTATATAAACTTATAGTTTCATTAGAAATAAAGACAATATATGATCCAGAGTTGTCAAATTTTGCAATAGTTACAATTTGTTTCATTTATCATATGATCTTGGGTTTACAAATGTATATAACAAATTTTAAATGTGAAAAGTCAACATACTGTACTTGTCCACTATTAATTCAGAACTAATACTATTAGGTTATTGACACTTATCATACTAAGGTTGCCTGCCGTAATAGGTTTACTAAAGTTGAAAGTTTGCAACCTTTCATCACGAAGTTGTAATTTTTTGCTGTAGGTGTAATAGTCGTAATAGGTGTAATGTTGTAATGGTTGTGCATAATCTGATTACAGGATTATGCTATATAATAAGTAATTGCATGACACAGTCACGCTAAACCAGATATTAACAAGATTTCAGTGATATTGAAAATTTGTAAAGATTATCACAGAATTAAAGAATATGAATTTGATAACTTCAAAAAAACCAAGTACGTATGTACATACATGAACAGATACACATGGGGGGTAGGTTGCCAAATAACCATGCGCATTGCCAATAAGCATATACTATATATTAAAGTATTCTGATTGACTTGCTTATACAAGTACATAAACATGAGTGCTTTCAAAAAAAAACCATGTTTCGACCTTTCAAGTTTATAACTTAACGTACTCAACCCTTGAAAATTTTGATTATAGAGTCGATGTACTATTATTTGTGATCTATCATTATGGTAAGCTATTACACGTCTGTAAGGACGTGCAAGATGTTTTTTACAATTGATATTTTTGACACGGGATTACGTAATCGTTTGTGCAAAATATCACGGAAAAACTTCACATGGCATATAAAACTCCGGATAAATAACAGGAAATTGTTTTCATCTACTGCCCAATATTGTATACTTATCAGGCACCTTACTATGATCGTACCAACAGAATAACTCGAGTTATTTTGATGATGATTGCATCATTATCAAATAACTCCG